CTCCAGTCACTCATTCTTTTAAGATTACTAGTAATCCTGCAACCATAATCAAACCCTGTATGGATCCATAGGGCTCCGTCCTTGCATAAGAGCCTCTCTGGAGTCAGGCACAGTAAGTCTGGACGTAAGTGTATGAATATTTTGTCCACAATCTCCAGAATACTTACAGATATTTGCAATAATCCAACAGCAAGAAAGGTGTTGAAACCACACCTAGACATAATCTGGTTTGATCATTGTGTTCCCTTGAAAGGCAGCTTGACAGGTTAGTTGCCAAAACTTAGCTCAGGTTTCCAGACTGAAAGGTGCTGTGTCCTGGCAGGCTTAAGGCAGGTAATATTTTGCTAGCACGAAAAATTTAGGGCTCAAACATGTTGTATAGGAGGGAGCAGCTGAAACCTGCAGACTCCTGAGGACCCACTTCTCTTAAAATGCAGGAGGTAGATCAACACCTCAAACAGGAACTCCATGCAGCCAATTAACAATTGGATAACCAAAATTTGTTAGCACACCCAGAAACTATGATGTTTGATCTAGGAATGCCAATTTGGCATGTTAAACCTCCCTTTGACTCATATTCCTCCACAAACAGTCATTCTAACTTTTAATCCCGTGTAACTAATTGCCAGAGTAATATCACCACGACAGAGACAGGAGTGGGACAGGTCACATACAATCCACACTACACTACTTCCTTCCAGCCCACAGCAGGCAGCAGTAGGGGCTGCTGGGTAGACACTGAGAAATGCTCACTTGGGAAATCAGGTTTCCTTTTCCTGCTCCACCACAGATCTCCTGTGCAAGGCCTTCAGCAAGTAAGTTGTTCAGTGTCTCTGTGTCTGAGTTTCCCACCTGCAAAATGGAATAGCACTTCTCCTCTTTCCAGGAGCACCTGAGGATAAATACAGTATATTCTGAGCTGGTCAAGTTACAAGGGTGTTTAGATAAGCACCATAACTGACCAAAAGAAACTCAACCCAGTGGGAGAAAGGGGAACAGTCATGCTGAACTCAACTTCTTAAAAAAAATTAAATCATTTCCATTGCTATTTACTGATTTTAGTAAATCAGATTTGCTTTTTTTTCTGATGGTTTTCTCCATGGCTCAACAAAGACTAATGCATCATGACGAATTGAATACAATAGAGCTAAGAAGCAAAACATGCTCTTTTTTTTTTTTTTCTGTAGGATTGAAAAGAGCAATGTTCTATTTGCTTCTCAGTCTGAGAAATCACGGTTCACCATTATCCACAGACAAAAACCTGGGAAGCCTTTCTATCCAACTTGGGCAGCCTAGCAGAGGAACGTGAAATGCATCAGGACACTTCTGTTCAGAGACCAATTTCACACTATCTAGATAAAAACGGAACAAACAAGCTATCAGAGTTTTAAGTTCTCTTAACATTTTTTCAAATTCAGATGGAGAAATTATGTCAACATTTTTTAAAGTTATAAAACAAATGCAAAAATACAAAGTGCAACGGGAGTCAGCATTGTCATCTGGTTTTGAGAGCAAAAGAGAAAGAAGACACTGGTCTAGAGATTTTCCAGTGCTTTTTCTTTAACTTTTATGAAGGGCACAGATTTGTGTGGTCACTGGTTCTGCCACTCTCACACCTTTTACAACTGCGTTTTACAGCTATGTTTTAAGGCAGCATTTTACAGCCACATAACTTTACTCACATCAGGAGTTATAACCAATGTACACATCCAGAGAAATCATGAGAATATGAACAGACTGATCCTGTGCAGATCAATAATCACAGCAGGACCCGTGTCGCTTTGGATTATTTCCAGACATTCAGTGAGGCAGAAGCAGAGTCAGGACTCCTGTGAAGCACTTGCTGTGCATATTTTCTGACAAAATTCTGTCAAAGTTTTAGCTTTCTAAAATGGGCACTTCCATCTCTCTTTAGCAATGAAAAAGTAGCTATTGCTTCCTTCTGCACCCTTTGAAGGAAATTCTCCTTTAAGGCTCCATATTTACCAGCAGCTACCACACAGTGGTATCCAAAACACCATGAAATATTTTCTAAGAGTAGGGACCTGTGTTGTATCCTAGATACTGATGCACTGCAGCTTCACATCAAATAGAGATGTTTGATGAAAACACTGTTTGTCATCTGTGGTCTTGTTCCTTTCACCTTAAATTAATTGAGATATATTATCTCCTTGCATCCCCTCCTATGCCTTCCATTCTTTGGAGAGGTCTAAGCTTGTGTTCTTCAAGATCATAGGCCTGGGGGAATTTTTGTACAGGGAAGAGAGATTTACTAGAACCAGCTTGCATGCATCCCCTATCACAAGCTTTATGTGTTATTCCCATATCAGGATTTGCATACAGACATACCAGCATGCACATACCATTTCTGAGTCATGCCTACCTTTTTAGCTCCCAGTATAAAGTAATACAAAATTAACTACTGACTTTTTTTTTTTTTAAAGAATGTAACTGCATGTTCTGGTGTGTCCTTACTTAGATCTTCCTCCAAGTGCAGCAAAACTCTTTGTATGCTGACAGAAAAATTCCATTCTGTCACTCCATTTGAGCTGTGAAAGTCGTTCTTCATTACTGTAGTTTTTACCTTTATCTCTTCTCTGTCCTTTGTTTGTCTTTGATACTTAAGAGGGAAAGTTCAGTCTTTCCTCACTATACAAACAGTTTCCATGCTACACTAACCACACTCTGCTATCTGGACTTCTGCAGGTAGATTAAGAGACTTGAATAGCACCCATCAGTCATGATCTTTACACCTCAGGGTTTGAACTTGGGAGGTTAGATACAAATGCTGACCAAACTTGGTCAGCTTTTTAAGTGACTCCATGTGTGGGATTCACACTCTGTAGGTTTAAAAAAGCAAAATGTTCAGACTTGACCTCCATTATCCCAGCTGGGTGCAGAGACCATAGCTGTGTCATGCATAGTCTGGTACGCAGTGCACAACCAGATTGCAGGATACAGGAGAAACCACACAAAAGATCAGCATCCATTTGCAATGTTGTTGTAGCTGACCTTGCCCTTCTCACTAATATTCATGCAGTGTGACACAGCAAACCATTGTATGAAACTAGCCCAAACGCAATTGTACCTTCTCAAGAAATCTTAGCCTTAATTTTGCATGTTTAGCATGAGGTCAGTGTTACAAGGCAGATTTTAGATACTTTCCAAAGACAAAATTAATAACCAGACTACTGCCATAAATATAGTAACTTTAATGCTGCTTAGCATAAGTCTTTGTTATATACTTTCATCCATATACTCCAGTGTAAATGTGTTTTATACAATATGAAGTATTTTTAAAAGTATATGGCTCTAGATAAAATGTTCACAAAAAGTTGCAATTAGAGAATTAGGGAAAAAAATAAATCAACCAGAGTACAAAATCTTTGGGAGGAAAAAAATATTCTGAAAACAGATCATCCCATTGTAGTAACTCAGGATGATCAAGGGCTGCCACTCCCTACTGTGTCATCCGTAAGAACCTGTCATGGGTCAGCAAGGACTGCAGGGCACTGCTGAGGGTGGCTGCTTCTCAGAGATCCTTGTACCTGACAGGTTTGATAAAGTAACCTCCATGGCAGACACCCCCGTTGGCTCATGGAAAATGAGTAGGGCTGGGAATGAAGGAAATCCTATCTTCTCTTACCCAGCCACTGCTGGTCTCTGCAGAACATCCAGGTGCACTGGCAAGATGTAGTGAACAAGTTGTTTTGCAAATGACAGGGAGCCTTTATTCTCCCAGGTTACCTATTTGGCACTATTCACAAGAGCAAAATTATTTACTAGCATTATAAAAAAAAACATTTCACCATCTGCAAAATGACATCAGTGTTAGGGAGCAGAGCACGATGCTATCATTTAGTTTTGCTAAATCAATTTTCTATATATAATATTGCAAGTCATTCAACAGGATATTCAAGAGAGGCTCAATTAAACATCATTCGTGTGAAAAGCAAACTCCATAGTGCGCAAACTGCTTTGCATTCCACTGCTTTCAGTAAGATGTTGCATGGACATCTGTCCAAATAAAAACACCTTTGCAACACTGCAGGTTTAGAATGCAACAAATAACACACTGCAAGAATTGAGGTCAGACATTATTCACCATTTAGTAACATTCCATTCAAATGATATTGACTCACATAATACCTAACAAATGCAGCATTTGAAGTAACAAAAACAAAGCTGTACTCCAACAAAGTAAAACAGTGCAAATAGTCCTGTTAAACAAAAATACAGCATGTATATATACACACAACACCAATGCACTGTTTTGTTTTGCAGTATAAATAGGTCTGAACAAGCTAAATTCCTAAAACCAATGAACTGTTGATTGACAGGCCCAAACAGTTTTCATCTAGTATGGAACACAGTCAGCTTTAAGGATCAGATGACCATAGCCAGATATGGCTGTAAGAGAGTATCAAAAGGTTTGACTGGATGTTATTTTAAAATATTTTATCTGTACATCAAGATTAATAAAATATATATACTAAGTTGGTATCTCAAAGTCAGCTTGGGCTCTGATCATGCAAAGAGCAGCACACAGAACATTCATGACTCTACAAGGAGCTCTACCTGTGTGGAGTGTACAGTAATGCTGCAAAACACTTCAGGCCCAATCCCAGACTTGACAAGGGGGGAGCTTTTTAGCTGCCTATGCAGTTAACAGCTTGGCTTAGTTTCCATTTTCTTCCCCTTCTGATGTAGCACTAGAGTTCTGCAGACTGTTAATGACATATCTGTTTATCCCTGAACTCTCTAATACCATACAATGAGTACACTTACTATGCCTACACAATAAAAGTAAATATTAGAAAGGGAAGAGATAGAATCTTGTTTTCTCTTCAGGAAATCCTGATTATGGGTTATTTGCATTTCAGCACTTTAAAACAGATTTTAAGCAGAAAAAAAAAGTCTTTTTGGAATTAGATTACAGTAAAACAGACAAGTAGCACTTAATGTGATCTGAAGTGGAACACGCAGGCATTAACCTCTCTTCAACTGTTATTTAGCCTCCATCTCCTTAATGCCAGGGCTGTGCTGCAACCATAACAAACAGCTGTTGCAAAGGCAAAAATCTAGAGAAGGAACAGGGGGGGAAAAAAAAAGAAGAAAACAGAAAAAAGTGAATCACACATTATATTGTTCTCCATTTTTTTTGTATTCTAAATGAATATAGGAACACAAATGATTCAAAAGTTACCTCTCCCAGCCAAAATGTTTACGGTAAAGATAAGTTTGGGATCCTCTGAAGTTTTCTCAGGAGCTTCTCTGTTACAACCTCATTTTACAACTGCCCCATGGTATTACTTTTCACTTGCTTGCTTCAGAAGACAATTTGAAATAGAATATGAAATAGAATTTCTGCATAATTTACAGTACAAAGTAAATGTGTGTACATACACTGTGCATTTCAGTTTTATCTAGACTGGTCAAATCTGATCTCAGATTTGTTTCCAAGTGAATGCCTTTACCAACAAACACCTAAGAAGATGTCCCTCCACATAGTAGAACTCTTCTGCTTGCAGAAATACAGAAATTACTTCAAATCTGGCCTTGACCAGATATCCAGCCACCAGAACAGCTTCCTGAGCAATGCCAGGAAGTTGCACTTAGTCAAGAACTGAATCGGATAGATTTGAACTGAAGGTCAATGCCACAATGAACTTGAATACACAATGTACACTGGAAGGAAGAAATGAAAAACTGAATTGTTCAAAAAACATTTCTCATATTGTCCAGTGCTAATGAAGGATTCTGTCTCTTTGAGCATACAAATCCAGTAGTAACAACCATCTATCCCTTGCTTTCCATACAAGGGTTAATTTGACAATTAAAGATGCTACATCACAGAACTGTCACCTGCAATAAATGAACATGTGTATTTTTAATCATGATATATTAAAGTAATTTTAAAAGACAATGTTAGCAACCTTTTCTATTTGTTTTTCTTATATAGCTCACGCAATTGTTTTAATGAAGTATTTCAAAGGATTACAATTGGGTTTTGTTTATGTTCTCAATTCCTAAATATACACTTTTGCAAAAAAATGCAGAGACACTAAAGACTACAGTTATCTGCTTCACCATTTTCCAGCATCTCTTAATTAAAGATACTGAAAGAAGTTATAAATAAGTCTCCTCCTCCCCTATCTTGACAGGGATTTGTGGGGCTTGAAGAACTGAATCCTCCCTTTAAAAAAAAAGTAGTATGGAAGGGGGAAACGGTCTCTTGGAGTCCCCAGAGTCCTGCTGTCAGACAAAATTATTGAAATGACCAGAATGATCAGAATGCACTAAACAAGGATTGAAGATGTACAGTTAATGGTAGAATCTGAGATACTTGCTTAGTATAAAGACCACCCTTAGTTCAGGCACAGCTATGAGACACCACCTCTGTCCTTGGGCTACAAGGCCACACAGATGTGCTCTAGTGTGCTACTGGCAGGTGGGTAATGGTGAGCCATTCTGGACTTGGAGACTGACATGCCCACTTCACCTCCTCAGAGACTGGCTTGCCAAAGCAAAAGGCTTTTCCTTTTTATTCTCCTCTTGCAGAGAGGATATCATGCTTACACCTTACATTCATCTGTTTTTATCTGAAAATGAACTGAAGGTGTTTACCATGCAAAATTTATGGTGTACATACAGATACCACAGAGGGTTTTAGAAGCTCAATAAATATATACAGTTCTCTAAGGTATGCAAGACCCTCTGGATGAAACAAAAATAAGAGCAGTAGTTTCAGTTCTTTAAGTTAAGCCTACCTGGCACACCTCTACTTGCCCTTGAGGAGTCCAGCCAGGAGAAAGCTAGAGCCTGGTGTATTTTCTGATTCAGCTATGCACACCCCCATCACCAGATACAGTGATTCAGTGATGATGCAACTACAGTGAGAAAAATGCATTCTAAGCTCAGGCTATCATAAAAAGCATTCTAATAATTGCCATGAGAGACAGCAGGGCTCTGACAGATAACCTTTTTGCTCATGTAGTAAGTACATATGGGGAGCTTCACAAGGATCTAGTCCAAGTTTTTCTCCATGACATGTTCAGGACAATACAAGTGATATAAAAAAAGGCGACTGAAAATTTGAGCACAGGCATGAAATTCATGTCTCATCCTTTGATGAAGGCTCAGTTGTTATGTTTTTCTTCAAGTAACAAACACTGTTTTTACAGAATACCTTGTCTAAAAACTGTAATCTGTAGTGCTCATGTATTTAAAGCACAACAGTAAAGAACAGCAATTCTACACTACAGTGAAGAGTATCACACTAGCATTAGCTTATATTATATATTAGTGATATTTTTTTGCATCTTATTGTTAGACACTATTTGCTGCTCACAGACAATCCTTTCTCACACAGCTCCTCCTTCTATTCCAGTCCCCCAGTTGAATGGTTGGCTATGGGGGTTTACACCAGACCTCTGTTCCCCTGACACAAATATATGAAATACATACCGAGGCTGCTATGCTTATGTTATATTCATGACCAGATAGAATCCTCTGTTGTGTGGTGGCATTGAATTTGCGGGGAAAGTGATGCAGAGATGTAGTTGCTGCTTGCAGCAGAAAAGCTCCAAAATAAAAGACAAAAGTAGCCCCATGGAAAATAAAATCCTAAAAAGCAAATAACAGAATCAGTCTGGGCTGCAATACAGATCTAATTCTTCTAATTTCAGTATAAATAAAACCCAACAGTGAAACATGAAACAAGCACTGATAACAATAACTTTAGATAAGCAGTGTTAAATCCATCCAAGAGCTTAACCTGGACATGTCTTCACAGCTGCTTGCAATTATAAACAACTCACTAACATTATTAGTGATAAAAAGCAGCTCTCCCTCTCCCTAAACCTTACATTCTCATGTATAGCATGTGCTCATCTTTATGCACATATGCTGACCCTTTAGATCATTTTAAAGCTATTGGAGCTTACAGAAGTCTCCCTTCACAGAGCTTAGACAAACAAGAAGGGACATACCAGCTAACTTTACCACAATTCAAGCAGTACAATACAATCTTGAAGTCCCACAAGTCCCTTCTCTCAGCTATAACCAAAGCTCCAAAAATCCCCACTCCATGTTTAAATTTTGCTTCTGTAAATGCCCAAAACCACTTCAGCCTTGATCTAGATGAAATTTACTTCCTAATGTATCAAAGAACTGAGGCATTTCCTCAACTGTCTCTGACTTGGCTCTACCCAATAGTCAGTAATTTGAAAGTTCTTCATGACACTGTGGAATAAGATGCCTGAGGCTTCAGAGGACAGGTTTTAGGATTTACTTCAGATATGCTTATCTCCTGGCTTTCTCTAGGCAATTCCCACCTCTGTGCTAACTGAACATAAAGGTTTAAACATCTAAGTCTTATCTCTGGGTTCTGACACACATGAAAAAGGTCTGGTGCCTAAATCGCTTTGTAGGTTCTATTTCAGGGTCCAGTGTTCCAGCAGCAAGATCTAAGACATGTTCCAGTAGTTTTAAAATGTCTAAAACGTTCATACAACATCTCCTTCTGTTGTCAAGTCTGAAAAGCTGACATTAGCAGTGCACTTGATTCCTAAGTCCATACCACATATACTTCGGGCCTATACCTGTGCAGGTCTGCAAAAGCCATGGAAACAACTTTTAAACACACATAGGTATGTGTATGCTTTTTGATTATGTCCATGATATACAGTCTATCTCCAGTACTAATGATTTCTTTATGAACTTTGAGTGCAGTGGATTGCCAGCATGCCCAGAGTGAGAACCCAAGGTATACTATGTGTCCAGCACAGCAGCAGACAGCATTCATATGCACTAGAAATTACTGTGTGGTGGTGCCCTACCTACTGACTGCCTGACAGCAACGTGAAAATGTGCTGCATTTCCTTGTTTAGAGAAATGCAGTTTCTTTGTAGATGTGAGATTTTCTTGTAATTGAAAGAATTTTCTTTTCAAACTCATTACTTCTTCCATATTTGATAGCAGCTAAAGCTACTTAAATCACAGCCTAGTCAGTTTTGATAAGTTACAGTATAATATGCTACTACAGTTCCCCATTCCACTTAGATCAGGACTGACTGCATATAGGAGAGATATTTTCAGAACACAAACTCTTTCATTTGCTTCATTCTCCTGCCAAACCCTCTAATTTCCTTTGCCTAACAGCAATTACAGTGAAGCTATGTGGCATCAGTAAGCTTTCATGTTCACATGTTTATGGTTTCTGTGACCAAAAACCCCAAGATCTTGAGGGAAGGTTTTTTTGGTTTTAGTAATTGTTAGCATGGTGCCTAACTCTCCCTCGCCTCCACACTTGTATAATCATTGAAACCTCATACAAAGTGTATTTAAAACAGCACCAGATTTGCATGATAAGTTAGTTCACATCTAATTTTGTAAATGAGTGTGTTGTGAGTCAGGCTGTAAAGGACAATACTTGTCATACCATCTGGTTTAATGCAGTGATGTACACAGTGATGTAGCTCTCCAAGGTCCATCTTATCCACTGTGTAGCATCTTATTTTTTAGATATCTGTATTAGGATTAATGGATATACTTAAAATGTGAGGTATTACTAAAAGCAGGGCTGCATTTATAGTAACACAAATGGTTTTAGTGTTTCCAGTAATTAATTATTTGTTTGCAGCAGAAGGTAAAAAACCAACTTGTGAAGTGCTGCTAAAGAGTTTAGTGTCAACAAGTCACAGAACATTTGGGTACCTGAAAATAGTGGTCAAATGATCTAGACTTATTTTTGCTGACAGCTGGAAGGGGCTGGATTTCAGCTACCAAGTTAGAGACAAAATTATTCCCTGTGCATTTATTTAAGATGCTGGCTGAGTTACAACAGCTCTTTAGATGAAGTTACGGATGCAGCTCTTATACAACTCATGTAGCCATTTCCTGACAAAGAAAGTTCTTCAGTAATTTATTACATACAAGGGGACAAAATTAACAGTACAACAAATCACTGCCAGCATCAAGTAGCCAATGTGTAAGACACACACAATTGTTTTAAGATTAAATTTGTACAGCATTTTCAATCTATAAAAGGCTTTGCTCTCACCCAGCAACTCTTAAATAAATGCATGATTGTAAACTGGCAAACAGTTTCAATGAAACCCAGGACACTATTAATTTACTTCAGTTATGCACATGCTCAAGGGCTTTGTTGCATCATAATTTGTGAGGATGTTGCAGCATAAACCCCTGCAAAGGTCTCTGTAATTGTAACTCATTATTAGCCTAATTACTGCCTGTATTGTGCTGGAAAGCTGACACTATGTCTGTGTACTCACTATCAGAATGCTAAAGTTTGTTTTTAATAGAATCCAGTCTGTTACCACTGATGGTCTTTTAAGTCATCAGAGCTCCAAACTCATGAAGCTCTATGATTTGCTTTAAAGACCTTTTGTTTTAAGGGACTGTCCATGAATAACCTGAACAGATAAATAGTCACAGATATTGACACTGAGCATGCAATTCCAGCTGTGATCAACTAAAGCATCAATAGGAAAACTTAGCCATGTAGGAGGAAGGTGAAGGTGATCAGCAGTTACAGATAGCCACACTTCAATGTTTTAGAAGTTGTGGTACTTTTCGAAGATTTTTTTTTTTTTTTTTAAATTCCCATTTTGAATCACAATTTTGCTACCTCTTATTATTCACTTCCAGTAATAAGAGAAAGTGTGATATCATCCTCAACTACTTGAGTACTAAAAATTCAAAGTAAAAAACAGTGAATGACAACAAAGGAGCACATATGTTAGCAGTCAATAACCTGAGGTATCCATGTGTTTGGTAAAAACTAGAGCCAACAATTTCCCTTTTTAGTCTCTGAAAACAACTGGCACAAGTCATAACAAGCCATTACAGCACAAGTCAGATTTGTCTTCACAATGAAGAAAAGTTGAGAAGAGTGTAATTATATCTGTAGTCTTATCAAGCTTCCTCTAAGAAAGGTAAGCATTAAGTCTCCTAATAAGATGTGAAGCTGTATCACACTGCAGGTTATTCTGTCTTTGACCAGCTAAGGTCTAACAGCCACTCACCATTGCTGCCCTAGCTTTAAGGAATTGACCGAAAAGTCACCAAAAGACTTTCTCAGAAACTGAAGGAGACCTTCTGGGTGCTGTGCTATCTCAGAAAACCACATCACACAGTATGGTCACAAGTGCATCCCTTCCTTTACTATACTAGATGTATCTTTCTACATCCCATTATTCACAGGATGTTACTACCACTTCTCCAATAGTCAGAAAGTATTTTCTGATTTCCAGTCCACAATCATTTCTGGCCATTTAAACCAATTTGCTGCCATGCCTTGTTAAACTAGTCCTCTTCCTGCTGCTTATGCATTTTATGTGCTCATAGAGAACATGTACACTCCCTCAAACAGTTTCAAAAGCTCTTTCAGCCTTCATAATAAAACAGGTCCTGTATTTCCTCTATCATCCTTGTAACTCTATTCTTTCCTTTTCCAGTTTTGAATTCTTGTTCTGAAAAACTTTCCACTAAAACAGAAGGCCAGGCCTTAGGACTTAGGACCAGCACTTCTCATTAAGTGATTTTCAGTTTATAAAACAACAGGGAATCCTTAAATAAACAAAAAATCTTACCGCCTGGTTCCAGTTGACAGCAATTCTATTTGCATAACCAAAGAGGAACACACAGAGGAACACAATGGACAGGAACCATGCAGTCACTGCTACAAACATCACCCATCCTTGCAGCAGTGGCAGTGGAACTCGGGTAGAAGCAACCAAAATCCAGACCAATGTTCCAAACAGCTGCAAGGAAAGGAATACAGAGAATGAACTGAGAGAACTTTTATTCAGTCCTTTCTGCCTAAGAACTAATACCACACATCCTGAGATTATCTTTAGGAACCAAGAAGAAACACTTCAAAAGTGCTCAGAGAGTCCAAGTGCTCTTTTCAGAAATGATAGATACTAAGTAGCAATAAGACAAAGCCACTCTGGAATTCTTAAAAGTTCTTAATATTGGTTTGAAAATGGGATTTACAAACCCAGGTGACTCGTGTGCTGCTGCTGCAAATTTTACCCTTACTCTCATTTTGAGGAAAATGTAAGAAATGTGAAAACATAGTTCACACACACATATACATAAATCCCTCTATATATACTAAAATTAGCATGAGAAGGATGTATATCAGATTTGGATTCAATCTCATACTGTTTAGTTTTGCAGTCCTAATCAGATGAGATACAGAAAACAAATGAAACTGACTCCTCTTTTTCAATGTGTTTGTAATAATAAGCTGAAAAAGAACATATTAAAGCAATGAAGTGAAAGAGAAAACCAGAATACAGAATAAAGTGAGTTGTAAATTATGCTGTAAAGACTAGAAAAAATATGCACCTTTCCAGAGTCATCATAACTTGATGAAGTATTCACCACTGCCAATTTTCTTTTCAGCATATTGATTGCAGCAATAGAGTGGTAGGGACACTGTGCTGTGATGGGCTGATGGAGAATTTATGTACTCTAAGGCTTCCCTAGTTTAATCAGTTTTTGGCCTAAGGAAAGGTACTATTTCTTCCTGCAAATCCTGCCTCAATACAAAAGGATAAATGGACTGAATCACAATTTTCATCTAAAGTATGTTAATTTAATACAGAAAGATTTAACTTCATAATCCAACTTGCTGAATAGTAGCAACTACAATCAATTTCCAGGAAAGTTACTTCTTTCCTGTTTAAATTCCACAGATTTACAACTAGGAAGTCAGAGGGGTTTTCAGACTCAGAGAACTTTCTTTTGTATCAAGGTTGGATAAGAGATACCTTTCAAAAGATGCCTGTTATAAAATTAGTTGGTTCCTCTCTCGTGTTACATTGCAGCAGCATATATGCAAAGATGCATTGCTAGTCTCAGTTCAAAGCTCCCAAGGGTTTATGCATTAGTGTTCAAGTTGTTCTCTAGGATTCCTTTTTTAGCTGCTGTGAAGAACCAAGTTTCTAGTTTTCGCTAGTTTCACAAGACTGCGGGTGCAAGTCTGTTACTCGGTGACCAGAGAGTGATGGGCAGTGAGGAAGCAGAAGGGATAGCAGAAAGTGTCTGTTAAACGAAAAACAGAGACACGTGAAATGTTTTCAGTATTCTGAATGTGCAAACTTGCAGGGTTGTTTAAAAATACATTTAGAAATGTACTGCAGAAGCTGCTAATCTCAGCACCTACTGTTGTGCCACTTCCCTCACACTACACCTGTCCACTTCAGCTCAGCTGTCAGATGCACAATAGGTTGGCCAACCTAATTAACCTTTTGTCCCTACTGACTCAGGGCCTGATTTAGTGCCCAGACTTGTGTTTCCAGCTCTTTGTTCAGGTGCAGTTTTACAGCTTGCGGGGTGGGATCCAGCTCAAGGGCTGGGACCCAAGCAGCATTCTGCTCTGACCCTAAGCAAAAAATAATTTCTACCAAGTTTTTTTTCCCTCTTACTCATCAGCCTCATACGCAGCTTTAGACCAAAGGTCTCAGCCCTGCGTACACCGCTGAGGTCTCACACACACACACACAGGACACCAAACACTTGTAGGAGTCTGCACGGGGCCTGTAACACGCGCACGGGCAAAACTCGCTGTAATTCCGCACGGGGCGTTTGGGGTCTGGGGCACAGCGTGGCGCAAAGTCCTCGACAGCTCAGACAGCCCCACG